ACACACACATATATATTGAACAACCATTAAATAATTTACCTCAACTTTGTTAATACATAGATTTCAAACAATTCACGTAATTTAATAATCACATTTATAGAACACCAAATGTTGGCAACTTTATCTTCATATAATCCACGATATAAAGGGAAAATACGCCAAATCACTTGTGTAATCTGATCAAGTGAATCTAAGAATGGAAAAAACATCACACTAAATGTTATAATTACTGTTAAGCCTAATTTTAAAAAAAGAATAAACCTATTTACACAATTTTTTTTAAAAAACAATAATAATTAATAAATCAATTTTAATCAAGATACATAATATAATATTATACATATATATATTATATAATTAATTACCCATTTGTCTTAATACATTTTCCTAATAAATAAGCAAAAATCACAGGAGCATAATAAAGTGCCATTTGTTTAAAACATATGGAAAGACAAAAAAAAATGCTCCCTAAAATATCATAATCATAAAAAAAACAATTCAATGACCATAGTGTAAATCCAAGCATCAACGAATTATATCTAATGAGATTCAATACAACAAGTGATATTAGAAAGCATTCTCTCTTATATTCTCAGGCATTTAGAATAAATAAATAATAGTTACTGGAAATGTCCATGATCTATTAATATTAGAGCTGGTTGCATCAAAATAAACAAAGTTGTCACTTCCTAATCAACAAATTTTCAAACATTAAAAAGTATCATTCATATATAAAGACATATATATTTTCAAAAATATTAAACCATACTTTCTTCTTCCATGAATCAACAAACCACCAATTTACAAATACTAAAACTGAAGGTATAAATATCAGATATTCTAGGATTAACACACTTGATCTCATAAATATTTTAAGTTCTGTACTTTCATAACCACGAGATTCATCTAGTTCAACCCATTCAGGGTTAATTAAATATCCTCTATTGAAAATATATGCATAAATAAATATATGGATTTAATATTTTAAATGGAAATTGGAATTATTTTCTTATTTTCTTAAATTATACATACATTTTGCCACAAATCCAACTTACATATGCTGTCAGTGGAGGATAATCAAGGCCCCACCATTCTGTGTCATAATAATACCACTGTTTAATTGGAACATTTAATGTCAACTCCATCCAATGTCTTTGTGCTTCAAAATCTCCATATATTGGTGGAGTATTGTAACCTGAATAAACTCATAAATTATAAAAGCAAACCTTTTTCTTTAAAAAACCAAATAACATTAATAGATATTATACCTGAGTATGGATTTAAACCTACAGTCCATTTTATATAAATTCCAAAGATTAAGCTTAACAAAGTTGACCATTTTTCTAATTGAGAATTACTCAACCAATCAAACCACCTTGTTGCGGGTGAATTTATTGTCAAAAATGAATTTTCCTTAAAAATTGAGGTATTTCCATTATTCAAATTTGATGAACTTTTTTTACTCATTAAAATATTTAATTAAAAAGAATATTATTTATGATTTAAAAAAGTTGTCCACGATTTTTGATCATAAATGAATGATCCATTACGTAATGATCTCATATATAAGCGTCTAGTTAGGCAAAATAACTACCTTTATTTAGCCTTATACATGCAGATTATTACGTAAATGTGTCAATGATATGTCAATTTTATCGTTTTCAAAACTTTTTAAAAATGGAATCATCATCATCGAAAGGAAAAAAAAAAGTTTCATTCGAAGACTCTACTAAATTTTATCAATCAAAAATTGAGCAGTCAATTTTTGATACAAATAAAGCATTAGAACATTGGTGTAATTATGAGAAAGATTATGAAGCATTGAAATCTACGTTGAAAGTTTTGAATAAAGAAACCGAACATAATGTTATGGTAAATTTTTTTAATGTTTGTAAAAAAATGTTCATATGTTTTAATATGATATGATTAATTTATTGTATATTGAAAAATAAAAAACAAAGGTTCCAATTAGTAAATTTGCGTTTATGCCAGGAAAACTTGTACATACCAATGAAATATTAGTATTGCTTGGTGATAATTGGTTTGTTGAACGCTCTGCATATCAAGCAATTGGAATCGTCGATAGAAGAATTGAAAGTAGGTAATATCTATAAATGATTTTATTTATTAAATAAAATATCAAGAAACCAAAAGAACTAGATTTTTAGAAATATTAATTTTTTCCTTTGTCAAAAAAAGTGGTTAATAAAACAATAGAAGATTTAAAAGTTCAAATTGAAAATCTAAAATCCAAAATCCATCTTACTTCAGAAGTTTTGAATTTCCCTAGTAAAAAGCAAATAGTAAATTATAATAAATAATATTATAATGACACTTGTAAAGATATTTTTTTTTTTAACAATGGTTTTCACCTTATAATTTAAAATATTGTTAATTTAGTTGAATGAAGAAGGATTACCTTTTGTTGACATTGTTGAAGAATATCATTCTGATGAAGAAAAAGAATCAACAAAAAAGCCAACGAAAAAAGGTAGACATTTTGTGAAATTTTTTTAAAAATTAAATTAATTGAATTATGTTTTTGATTTTGTTAATTATTAATTATATATACAGTGAAATTTGAAAAAGATGTAAAGTCAGGTTATTATGATCTGAAATTTTTAGATAAATTCATTGAAGAGGAGGAGGAAGAGTTGAAACGTATACAGCAGCAAGATTCTGATGATGAAGATGATGAAGATGAAGAAGATGATGATGATGATAGTGACAATGAGGATGAATTTAGACACACGCAACAACAAGATTCAGATGATGAGGATGAGTATGAGGATGATTACAATTATAATAATGATAACAATGGCGGTGGTGGTGGTGATGGTGATGATGATGGTGATGATGATGATGATGATGATGATGATGATGATGATGATGATGATGATGATAAAAGTATATTAAAAAAAAATTTTAAGAATAAAGTAATCAAAGAAATTGTAGTTGAAAAGGATTTCAAATCTGAAGTTGGTTTAGATGAATTGGAAAACCAGTTTTGGATGAAAGAGGTAATGAGTAAAATAATTTTCTTGAATTGCACGCATTAATTTATTTTTATTTACTTTGTACAGATTGCTTCAGAGTATCATCAAAAACGTCTTGATATCATAGCAAAAGAAGGTGGACTTTTGAAAGAAAAAAATGAGGTTCTTAAAACTTTATGATTTTCCTTTTCTTCCCTATTAGAATTATTAATTAATTGGATATTATGGAAAATTTACCTTTCAACACAAATAAAATGCAGTTATCACCTTCTGTGAATCAGGTGAGACAAGAACAGAACCAACAAGAATTGCAACCACCAGTAACAGAAAAGGTAGAAAAGCCAAAAAAGATTTCAAGGTTTAAAGCTGCAAGGATCCAAGGGAAATTAGAGTGATTCCTATAAAATAAAATAACTTTACCCATTATGACTATAGCTAAACTACTAATTTTTGCTTGTAATAATAATAATTACTATTGTTATTATTATTAGCATATTGCCAATAAAATTATATGTTACAGTCTGAAATGGATGGTGCAAGTAAAATTTTTCGTTTTTAAATTTAAAAGCAAGAAAATCGCACTGGGATGCAAATCAATAAAGCAAGAAAGGTGGAAATTATTATAATCATTCATGCCTTCTTCAAATTCATCTTGGAAAAGTCCCTAAAAAAAATCAAGAAATCAATTTATTCACTAAACAATAAATAATTGAAGAAATAAAGAATGATTTATTTGATAATAGTCTTAAATATAATTACAGCATTTTTGATAAATATACAAATTTTTAAAAATACATTCCTAATAAAATGGTTATAAAATCAACTTTCACAATCTGGATCTTTGAATATTGGTAATATATGTATACAGTCTGCTAAATAATTTTGATTTACCTATTATATAAAAATCTCATGCTTTGGCAAATTTAAACAAGTGTTACAGGCCAAAAATCTTTTCCGAGAAAAAACCAACCAAACTTTATTATTATATATCAATATTAATATAAATATTATTATACGCATATAATTTGACAGCTATAGAATATATGTACTAAAAAGGAATAGGACTTAACAATATTATCAATATTTTGAAAAGGATTCTTTTTAAAAATTTTGAACATAAACAGGATTTATCAAGAATAAACCGGAAAACCCGATCCTTTAAGTATTATTTCGGGTCTGACCCAAGCAGGATGTATAAGAACTTTTTTTATTTTCATTCCATCATACTACTTTGTATTAGATTTAACTAATTATGTGTTTATGACATCTTATTACTAATACACATGTGAATAAATATTTGAAATAAAGATACATCATGTAAAAAAAATACATTTCATCTCAATGAGGCTAAATCTTTAAACATAGGGATATAGTTAACTGATAGACCAAATTCACAACTTTGTTCTTATCTTGCTTCATATATCTGATAAGTTTTCCTGGATGATCTCAAAATCTATATAAATATTAGGTCAATCTCAAACATCGAAAAATGGAAAATACAAATATTTGATATCGAGGTAGCAAAAACTTCAGAGGTAAACATCATCAATAAATTAAACGAATTAAGTAACCCTTCCGCCCAATTACTATGATATCTTTAAACAAGGAAAATTCCAGATAGGAAAGAAAGTAGATGTTGAACTTGACTCATCGGTGTTACTATTGCCACAATTTTATTTATTCGCTTCATCTTAATTCCATAAACCTTGATATATTAATATATCACATAGCTCATTGTTATACACGGGACATGTTCGACTAATGTCGAGCGGACACAGACATGTCCCGGACAATGTCCGCGTAACAATTTGTCGTGTCCGCTCATTTATTAAATGTCCCGGACGTCCAGGACTAATAGTACAAGCTACAAGTTAACGTGAGAAAACGCCTTTACCATCGACATATTATTAGAACCGATATTGAATCAAACCAAAGCAATTCAAAAACCTTTTGTAAAGCATATGTTGAAGAATCAGGAGAAGAAAAAATGGTTTCCAAAAAAAAAAATCGAATAATTCGGCATCTAAATAAATGTCTAATTTAACAAATACGAGGCGTAAAATTAGGCGTAACTCAATTAACACAATTATAATTGTTTAAACGACTTTGCACAAATGTTAAGACAAGATCAAGGAAATTATTATAAATAATATCAGTTAATTAATCAACCGGGTAATTAAATAACCCTATATTAATAATTCAGAGAGTAGAGACAGAAAGTAAAGACTTTTGTCCAAAGAATGTCCGGCACATTTAAAGTAGCAGACACGAACAACATTGATATAGTTGTAACTTCAAAATCGATCGACACATTCCCAATGAATTAGGAAATTTGCATCGTCTCCATGTCTTTGTAATCGGGTCGCTCATTTGTTCTATATTATCAATATTTTCATCGAATACATTGTCAAGTATTTTAGGGGAATTCCCATTGACATGGGTGATATTATGTGAAGAATGGCTTCCAATGCTAAGGATTGCCAACCGAATGATCCAGAATTATATCTACTTTGCCAATTGCTCAAAACTTAAATTGATATATATTAATACAACGTATTGTTAATATACTACCTCCTGTCTAAACATATCAAACCGATAGATTAATTGCTAACTTATCTAATAATATTTTCTTCCTCTTCCTTACAAACATCCATCAAGAATCACTCACCACAGCCATTGGCCTTCTATGCAAATGGTTCTCTATCAGAAAGATATTGCAGTACTACGGAACTTGTATTTTATTCGCATGACAAGGTACTCTGATGGATTGATTCTGTGAAGATTTTATTGGTTCATAATGACAGGGTTTTTATCTAGAAACGACATTGTTGATGACCTTCACCTTCAAAAAATAATAGAATTAACTGAATGAGGACTTTGTTCAATTGAAACTGTTACATGGACTATATACTTTGCATTCATGATGTTCGGTCCAATTGATCAATATTACTCGATTTTAAATAAAATTTTCTTATGTGCCCCCGTTCATCCGCCGTGACAAGGTTTGACTGTATTATGTAATAATGGTTTTAAATTATTTATCAGTGAAGTTTTTATAAAGAAATATTCTAATTTAACATTAAAAAGACAGAATTACAATCTTTGATGGTGCATTATATTTATATATATGCCATATAAAATATCCTTTGCAGAAAACTAGAGGTTGGAATCGACTAAAATAGTCGACTAAACTTTTTTTTGAGCAACTAATAATCGACTACTAATACTACTACAGTCGAACCTCGTTATAACGAACACACTGGTTTGGCCTCAATGATCCGTTATAACGAGGTATTCGGTAACCAAGGTAATTGATGATCAGCACGTGATACTTTTAAATATAACTTTTTTTTATTTAATTAATAATTTTTTTTTTAATAATATTAACAACAATAATAATAATAAAATTATCAACATAATAATAATAATTATAAATGATAAAATAATATTAAAAGAAGTCAAATGTGATAT